TATAAATTAATTCAAACAAAATAAGTTCGCGAGCTTTCTAGTAAAGCGTTTAACCTAAGAGCTCGGGATCACGTGCATATTTACTTAATTACGCCAAAGCTACGGGTAATAGCTCGTTAAGCTCTAACAAAGTATAAAAGCTTAAACATAAGTGTAGTTTGTGACGATTTACGACGCGGTGTAAACGTTGTTACGGGGTTTCTATTAGTTTTTAATTTCTTTGTTACGAAACGGTTTGATAGAATGACGGTAATCAATAGACAATTCATTTTTTTTTTCTGTAACCTAAGAAGTTTAGGAGTAAGTTTTGCTAGTGGTAAGACCTCTTGTGTGTCCACAAGGGTAGGTACCACCACCCCGCCTATTTCTGCCGTGAAGCAGTAATGCGTTTCGGCTTGAAGGGTGGGGCAGCTGTTGTAACTATACCTTAGGACTTATATCTCAAGGTGGGTAGCGCATTTACGTTGGAGATGTCTATGGGCTCCTTTTTTTTCTTTTTTTTTCCTACCTAAGCTGAGAGCCCTGAGAGGCTATTTCAGCGTAACCTTAACTAGTAGGTGAGCTCACGGGGATCAAACCTGACGACGTTGCTAACAGGAACCCTAGCAAGAGCCGTGCTTCGCAGAATCTACTACCGTATGGGCTGTGAGCCCGTCCACCCATCTAAGCAATAAAATAAATAAAAAATGTGGCAGAAATTTTGAAGGTCGCGGGAACCCGCTGGATGCAGACAGAACAGGACCCGTCGTTGTGGCGAGGATCGGGAGATGCCCACGTGTGTCTAGCGGTGGACTTCCGTGGGCTGAAAGATAGAAATGAATAGTTGTATGAGATTAAACGGTTAGCTCTCGCGTGCGGTTAATTAATCTTTGAATTGGATGACGGCACCTGCGCCCTTCAACACGACAATCCAGAGATCTTCTCTGCTTCTTCAAACGAGGCTTGCGGAGAGTACTCAACGGTAGGTTAGCGCCCTAGATGATCCCTTGGCATTGCTGACGTCTAGGATCAAAGTAGTAATCAATTTTAATCAAGTGGGCCGTATGAAAACACGATCTATAGGTAACGTGTTCAAGTGCACACACTGTACCACAGTTCAACAGTCTTCTGACGCGCGAGGTCCGTGCGCAATAGGAATAGAGAGCTCTCGAAGCGCCATTATGAACTTCCTAACGTATTTAGGCTTCGCTGGGCAAATAAATATCGCTTTTCGCTTATATTGTGCGAGTATATTTGTCATATCGGTACCCCTGTATGCGTCTCCGTATATGTTAGGTTAGCGATTCGTGAAGATCTAAGAAATTACAAAGCAAAGCTTATTGGAGTTTATTGGTTACTAGCGACCCGCCCTCGCTTCGCTTCGGAAACAATAAATTTTATTATTGATAGTTGAGTCCCGCGATAACCGCGGGTGACGCCGCGGAGCAAAGCTAGTCTAAAAAAATAGCCTAAGCTACTCCTTATATCATCAGCTACCTGTCAGGGAAAGTCCCGTCAAAATCGGTCCAGCCGTTCCAGAGATTAGCCGGAATAAACAGACAGACAGACAGACAAAAATTGTAAAAAATGTTATTGTGGTGTATGTACCGGATATATATATAACTATATATTCATATGCATGTAGTAAAAAGCGGTTATTTCAATATTACAAACAGACACTCCAATTTTATTTATATTTATAGATTAATCTTGTCTAATTTATTGATGCCGGTCAACTAGTCAGGCGCTGTGTCTTTGTGCCTCTGCCAGGATCAGTCTAACGAGTGTTCAGGATCGAGGAGTTGCCGTTTTAACTCACATAACTTCATGAGTACCGACTTTTGGGCCACACTTCATTCCCGATCCTGCGGACAGAATGGAAAGCAGTCGACGTCGCCCAAAACACGTCATCTCGGATCCTCCCGATCCACTAACGGTGCTTTTAGGTACTTCAAGCACCGGTCACCGTTCTCGTCGAACCCGTCGCTTGCGACGAAGGGCTCGACGAGTAAATTAACTCTCAGACACAGCCCACTGAGTTTCTCGCCGGATCTTCTCAGTGGGTCGCGTTTCCGATCCGGTGGTAGATTCTGCGAAGCACG